GATTTTATGACTAAATTACTGACAAGTATTTTATGACTCATTTGAAAGCGGGCCACCCTCATAATTTTTTTATTTATGAAGCGATCTCGAAGAAGATTTCATTGAATGTGGAGGGAGAAAAGGTGTCATTTGGAGCCAAGCGGCGTCGGTGTATTTGAAAACCAGTGCCTACTATATCACATCCAGGGACTGAAAAATCCAGAACCCATATTAGCGATTTTTTCAGAAAAAATAGCATACGCCACTGGAATCGGCATTTTCGGAAATCGACTTGTACCAAATTTCATGAAAAAAATATTGAACATCAACAATTCTATGACTTAATCACTGACAAGTTGTTTATAATGCATTAAGAAGCTTTTTATAGTAACCAATGCAATAACACATGTATTACAACCTTTGCACAATAAAATTTAATAGACATTCCTCTGAAATTATATTAAATTAATGCTCATGAATTAATTTCAAATCCTGGATTTTTCAACTGAATCTCCATTCAATTCGATGCATTTATTGTATCGTCGTTCAATATTTGCCATAACATTAGACAATTGATGTGGTGTAATTTCAGCGCATGCCTGTCTTATTCTTTCGCGCAGTTCTTCTGCGTTGGTTGGACGAGTGCTATAGACTCTTTATTTGATAAACTCCAATAGAAAAAAATCTAGGGGAGTTAAGTCGGGAGACCTGGGAGGGAACTGCATGAATCTACTATTTCGCCCTATCCACCGATTAGGAAAAGTTTCCTCCAGCCACGCTCTCACAGTTCTGGCATTGTGGATAGGACAGCCATCTAACTGAAACAGTATACCAGCCACTTCTGCAAGTGGAAGTTCATCAATAGCATCCGAGAATCCATTATTGAAGGAATTCAAAAAAACTTTGGCTATTCAAATTGCCTTCAAAAAAGAAGGGGCCAATTATTCTGGTATTCAATATACCGCACCATACGTTCACCTTCTGTGAATATTGTCTTCTACAGTTTATTACCCATTCAGGATTTTCTTGTGTCCAGTGCCTCGTATTCTGTGAATTCACCGTCCCATTGGTTGTAAATGTTGCCTCGTCACTAAACAACATCTTTTTTCGAGAATTTCTGTCATTAAGGTATTCTCCTTGGTACCATAAGTGTAGTATAATATATATATAAAGAACTTCAATAGATTTAGACATTTGAGTTATACCATTATAGTTTTAAGATACTGTTTATTAATTAATTATATAGGTCAGTGGTATTACCTGGGTTCATACAGTTCGTTCGCACTATTGTGTATAATTATTATAAGATATTATGTACTGACGAAGCTAAACAGTTATTGTGACAATCGGTATCATTTTTATCAAAATAGAGAGAGATTGATTTTGAACTTGATGATGAATGGTCGTATTATTACAACTCCCAACTCTCCTTATTACTAAGTTATCACATGGCGATCCTGCCAGGATAGAACTATAGCAATGGAATTCTAACATACAGAGATGCGATGGGGAAAACACAGAGCAAGGAAGAAATCGTAATTGCACAAGCAGGCAATAGTGGTGGACAAACAAACGAAGCCAAACGGAGCCAAACAATACGCAAGTTTCGGTTCTACCCAGGATATTCTAACCATAACTGTCCTGATATTGGGTACTTGCCCTGGGATGGTTGATTTTTGTTCAATGCAAAAAGGCACTGGAAAGGAAGATTAGGTAAGAAGTCTCCAGAAGCAGAGAGCAGGTGTAATTTTCTTTTTAGGAGTATAATGGTCACACTATTGGATAAAATGGAATGATGGTTATCAATGAATATGGATTGATATATTACATAAATTGAGAAAGATGGTGAGGAATTGTATGGGATGTCAAAGGAAGCAGATGAAATTAAATACCTATATGAAGAACTCAGAGTAATTCATAGAAATTTGAAGGAAGATAATACATACAGAAGAAATAATATCAAGGTAGTAGAATATAAGTTAAAAGAAGTAAATGGGCTGAAATTAGAATTCATTGAAAATAGGGAAAAATTCAATAGAGAGCTGCATGAACCCAAATTAGTAGATAGGATAAAATTGTATGTAGTCGATATATAAAAATATTTTGATGTTATCTACGGTATTTTAACTGAAAGGTTAAAATAATTAAAAGAAAATCCTTCAGAGCTTACAGTAGATTTCAAACACGATACGTCAGACTCAGAAAAAGAAGAAAAAATGTCTGAAAAATTCGATTTGAGAACTGCTGCAGGTTTAATTCCAGTAATAAATGGATCTGAAACAGTAACTAAGCAATTGATAGATGCAATTGGTTTATATGACTCCTTATTGGATAGTGATGGCAAAACTTTATTGACAACTCATGTATCAAAAACTAGATTATCAGAAAATGCAAAGATCAGATTGAAATCATCGTATACATCTAACACACTTTTAATTAATGATTTGAAGAGCTTTTCATATCAAAAAATCAGATGCGGCACTATCCACAAAGATAAATAACGAAAAGCAAAATTCTAGATCGATTGATGAGTTCGGAAGATCGCTTGAAGAATTGATGGTTGATCTTACATTAACACAAGCCGATGGCAATGAGCAAAATGCAAATGTTTTACGGCCTGTTAATGAAAATATCGCAATTAATACCTTTGCGAATGGGCTTATTAATCAAAATTTGAGAACAATTATAAAAGCACGAAACTATCAGAGTCTGAATGATGCAATAAGAGGTGCAAAAGATGAGGAAACATCGTTAGGGGCACCTTTTTTTTTTTTTTTTTTTTTTGTGGAGGGGAAATCCATCATGGACACCACCAACTTTAGCGCTCTATCGCTGGTGGTAGTGTCGGACTCCTACCGACTAAAACCCCTCCGGCCCCTCAATTACTGCGGTATCGTTTAGGCAACATTCATCGCAGTAATAGGTGTCTTCTACTCCTCTCCTTGAATTTGTCTTTCTTCTACCTCTTTCGTTTCCATAATTTCCTTAGCCATTTTCCTTACCGACTCCCAGTGTTCCTTTCTTCCTATCATCAGGTCCATCAACGTGTCCTCGTTTGGAATAGTTCCCATCGTTGTAAACGCGCTGTGTCGGGCCACTACCCATCTACCACATTCAAACAGAGTATGCGCAGGAGTATCCTGAACCTCCTCAGTGCAATAGACGCATTCGTCTGTGTCCGCCTTTCCTATGCGCTTAGTATAGGTCCTGAAGCAGCCATGACCTGTCAGCACCTGAGTAAGGTAATAGTCCAGGTGCCGGTGCTTGCATGCGTAGTATATCACCACATCCGGTATAAGTCTCTTCGTCCACTGTGCCGTTTCAGTGTTGGCTTGCCACTCCTGTTGCCACAATCTCAGAGATGTCGTTCTCTCTTCCTTCTTCGCCGTTCTGCCATCCACCCTCTCGTACAATCGCTTTCGTTCCATCACTAGTAAGTGTATTGGTACTGTTCCCGTCACAGCTTGTACCGCTCTCAAGGATATGGTTCTATACCCACTCGCTACCCTCAACGTTATCCTCCTCTGCACCCTCTCCATCTTCTTTCGATATGCCGTCACGTTCATCGCAGTTGCCCAAATTGGTGCTCCATATAATAAGATGGAGTGTACTACCCCGCTGAGAAGTTGACGCTTCCTGCTTCCAGGTCCTCCCACATTTCTCATCAGCCTACATAGTGAGGCCGTCCTCTCCTCAGCCTTTCTTGCTGCATACGCCACGTGCCTACCGAAGCTACCAATGTCATCCAGGACAATTCCTAGATATCTTACCTCTCTTTGCGGCTTTATCTCCGTGTCCTCCACAATGAAACGGGGGATTTCTCTATTTCTTTTTGCACGTGGTCCCCGGAGAATAACCGCCTCTGTCTTTTCTGGAGCAAGTTCAAGCCGTTTGTCTTTCATCCATCTAGCAATGATCCTGAGTGACTCATTAGCCCTAAACTCTAGCTGCTGTACGTCTTTTCCTTCCACCATGATGGCTAAATCGTCCGCAAAGCCTACCGATCTCACTCCTTCGATGAGCTGTTCCTTGAGTACCCCATCGTAAAAAATGTTCCACAACGCCGGACCAAGTACGGAGCCTTGTGGAACACCTGCTGTCACCTTATGCACCCCTTTATCAATTATTATTCTCCTGTCACTCAAGTAACTCCTCAGTGTGTTCTGAAGATAGGGCGATAGATGCCGTCTATGCAGCTCCCTTTCCATTTTGTCCCAGTCAGCGGTGTTGAAAGCGTTCCTTACATCGAGGGCGATTAGGGCCAACCACCTTTCCTGGCTGTTAGTGACGTTTCTCCTAACTTCTTCTACTGCTTGTACTGTAGAATGTCCCTTCCGGAAGCCATGCTGGTTTGGCGCCAGCCCTTCGCCCTCTTCTATCTCTCTCTCCAACCTATTTTTCAGCAGGCATTCGTAGATTTTGCTCAAGGAGTTCAGCAGGCATATCGGCCTGTACGACGAGGGAAGTCCTATTTGTTTTCCTGGCTTTGGTATTAGTATCAGCTTAGCAGCCTTCCATTCATATGGGAACTCTTGTCTCCTCAGTAGCCCGTTGTACATATTGAGGAGTAGTGACGGTGCAACCTTCATCACTTCTTTGATGGCTTCTGCCGGAATTCTATCAGGTCCTGGTGCCTTACCATTCTTTGCGGTGTTGGTCGCTATCTCCAGTTCCTCCATAGTGAAAGGAGTAGCCTGTTGGATTGGTTCAGCTTCTAGTCTATTATCCTCGCGATTTGGAAATAAGTACTCAGCTATTGTCTTCTTCTGCGTGGTTGATAGGTCCACTGGTGACGACTTACTCAACCTGCCAGTAACTATTTTGTATCCGTCGCCCCAGATATCTTCTTCTAGTTGGTTACATAGTTCATTCCAGTGGCTCCTCTTTGCTGCATTTATCAACCTCTTCAGCTCCCTCCTCTTTTCCTTATACTCATTTCTAGCTTGGGACCGTTGTTCTGGTGTGTACCCCATCATCCTCCTCTGCGTATGCCTTCTCTGCCTCATGCATTCTTCCCTCTTGTCATTAATTTCCTCGTTCCACCAGTAGGGGTACTTCTTGATTCCCTCCCTGCCTCTCGCTATACAACTTGTATACGCCTCCGTAATCAGTCGTATCCCTGAGTCAGGAGTGGTAGCGATTGGGGCCCCCCATTCTACTAGGGTTCGAAACGCTTCCCAGTCGACTATTACCTGCCGACGTCCTTCCCGCATTTTATTTTGTTTTCCCTGGATCTCAAAGTAGATGAACTGGTGATCGCTCAAACTCTCTTCTTCAGACACTCTCCAGTTTTTAATCTTTCTGGCCAGTCGATTCGTAGATATTGTCACATCAATGAAGGAGCTCTGATCTCTCCGCACAAAAGTCGGTTTCCCTCCTGTGTTATGTACGATCAGGTCTGCCGCTGCTATCCCGTCTGCCAGGTACTCGCCCCTTTCATCTGAGGTTGGTGACCCCCAATGCTCCGACTTTGCATTCAGGTCCCCCATAATCAGGCACTCCTTCCTTGTGTTTCTACAGAAGTCCAGTATTTGATCCACCCTATTCTTGAACTCCGCCATGTTGATATTAGGGGATATGTAGCCACACACCAGGTAAAAATTTTCCATCTGTACGGCCAGATAGCCCTGTCTCTTGTACGTTTTCAGCACTGTCACCTTCCTGTTCCTGAAATATACTGCTACATCAGACCTTCTGTCTACTATCCACCTGCCTGAGTCTGTCACCGTCTTCTTATTTGGTTCCGAGATCACCAGTATATCTACTTTTTGATCAGCTGCCGCTAAATGTGCCATGTCGTGTGCCGCTCTGGAGCGATTCAGGTTCGCCTGCATTATCAACATATTTTTATCGCCGCCTGTTCCCATTCCTGCTGGCTTCCAGGAGCCTTCGGAAGTCTGGACACCTTGTCTGGTCCGATCTGTGGCCGCTTACTTTGCATTTGGTGCAATATGGCTGTTCTGTACATTCTCTCGCCCTATGCCCGTCCTTGCCGCATTTGATGCACGTCTGTGACAAGTCTTCCCCCTTGCATTCCTGCGACCGGTGTCCAAATTCTAGGCATCTGTAGCATCTTGTGAGAGTGATTCGTTCTCGTATTTTGCAACTTGTCCATCCTATCTTGATATTGCCCTTGGTAGCTAGATTTCGCGCCGCTAGTTCTGGCAGTTCCAACGTCGCTGATTGGCTCCCGTAATTCCCCTGTTTCAACGTCTTCACCTGTATGTTGGATTGTTCCTCTCCTGTTTCCCTCCCAATAGTTTCGGCGATTTCCTCCGCTGTCACGGCCGCATCAACGCCAGTCAGGAATAAGATTTTGCCATTTGTTTTCGCTCTGACCTCATCTACCTGGATTTTTTCAGCGATATTTTCCTTAAGGGTTCTTGCCATACCCTTGCCTTCCTCCACTGTAAAGATCACTCCATCTCCCCTTACCGATTTCCTGATACCGGATATATTCACCCCAATTTGTCCAATATCGATATTATCTTTAACAGTGCGTAACAACTCGGCATAGGATTTGCCCTCAGCCCTCACCGTCACAGTTTCCACAGGCAGTCGGCTTTTCTGTCTATTATAACCAGACCGTACCCTCTTATCTTCTGCGTATAGGATGATCGCTTTTATGTCCGTTCCATGGAGCACGCACTCCAGCATTTTCCTTGCACGGTCTCTGTCCATCCCTTCTATCAGAGCTATGGTTATCTCTCTCCTTTTTTCTGCCACCAGCGTCTCCTTGAGTTTGACGAGAGTGGTATACATCTTCTTAGTTTCCTTCTCTTCTTCCACCTCTTTCGTGTGCGGTAGCAGGTACACATACCCAGTTCTCTCCTTATCATCTCCCCTACTTGTGTACGTTTTTGTTGCCCTCATCAGGTACTCCAGCTCACCATCCCTCAGAGTGTTAAGTAGCTCCTTCGCCTCAGGGAATTTCTCCTTCATTAAACTCATGGTCTTCCCCGTCCCATCATCTTCCGGGTCGATCACTAGTGCTATGTCCTTCTCCTCTATATAGTTGGTAGGGCTTCCTTTTTTCAATCCTGTCGCCTTGTACATATCTTCTGGCCATTCTTTCAACAGTAATGCTGCAGTGGTATCAAAGTCCGTCGCTCTTTCTAGTTCCTCCGGTTCGATGCAGTATGTTTGTGTGCCCCACTCCCTGGTTTGCTTCGTCGTCTTCAGTTCTTCTATCTTAGTCTCTTTCTCTTCCTTCGTAGGAGTCACCGGTTGACCAATCATAGGGGAGGATTCCCACTCTCCGCATCTCCTGTTTACGCTCTCAACTATATATGCCAAATCTTCTATCTCTCTCTTAATCCCCCTCTGGGTATTTGGATTGCTCCCGACCAGTTTTCCCAGCCGCTCGCTGCTTTTCCTCAGCTTCTCCATCAAGTTTTTGAATTCTGTCGCATCCACCTCCATTTTCTTCGGCTCCTGCCCATGGAGTGACGACTCCCATCTTTTCCTCTTGTTTCTTTTTCTTTGAGCTATGAAATCTCCCTCTTCCACCTCCTGCTCTCTTCCTGCATCCTCAGCGTGCTTTACACCATCGCTCTCACTCAGGTTGAGTACGCTGCTTCCGAATGTGTCCTCCTGCCAGAAGATCTCTTGATCCACATCGCTTCCTGTCGGAGCTTCCTCTCCTAGGTTACCACTTACACTTGCACTCTCCAGCCTCCTTACCGGTGAACGTTGTAGCGAGTCTCTTCTACCGAATACTAGCGCCTGTTCCTCTTCTCTCGATAGCGTTTCCGTTTTGCTGCTTCCTGCTGCTATTTGTTTTTTTGATTTATTTTCGTCCATGTCGTTCCCACGAGTAGCAAGGGAATTTTCGGTCCATTCCTGCAGAGCCCCGCTTGCAGGAGTAAGGCATCTTCCCCGCCGGTTTGCCTGGTCCGGCGGGCATCGCTCGCGACACACTATCTCATCCCTGTGCCATGCACCCCGTCGGCGCGATGGAGCTACACCTTGGGGTTGGGAGACGCGGTAGCCGAAGAGTCGGCCAAGAGGAGAAGGGCACAGCCGCCTCCCCTGTGCCCGTGAGAAGAAGATTGCCAAGAAAGGCGAAAAGAGGGAGAGATATAAGAGATTTTGCCAAGATAGGCGAAGGAGGAAGGAGTGTGGGTGAAAGGAACCTCGCCCAAGACTGGTTGAAGGAAGGAGAGGTTCAGCTAGGATTTCCAGGAGTCGCCGCCTCCTACACTCATCATAATGAGCCCTTGCAGAGTTTATTTTATCGAGGTTGACTCCTCTAGATCCGTAGTGTTTTGTAAGAGACAGGCCGACCTCGAGTAGGGTGTACTCCAGCGGAGCACGCACTACGGTCTTGCTAGCGCAGAGGCTCTATTTTGCGCATGTCACTAGCCTGGGTGAAGCCCTTCGACCCTCGTTAGGGGCACCTAGAGAAATGTTTCGGTTGAGGACAAATAATAGTTTTGCATATAGAGGTTCAAATAGTGGAAATTTTAGAAGTTATTCAAGAGGTTCGTTTCGAAATTTTGATAAGAATAATAGTAATTCTTTTAATAATTCCAGTAATTATAGACAGAATCCACAAAATACAAATTCACATAGGAACTCTCCTAATGCAAGATTTCACAATAACCGGAGAGGTAACTGAGTGAATCATAATAATGGCCAACGCGGGTACTTCATGCAAAATGATAATTCCAGAAATCAGAACATGAATTCCAGTACGAGCAGAAATAACTCAAACTCCAACCCAGGTCAGTTGTTTTTTCGAGACTAACCATAGTAATCCACAATTGATAAAATTAAATGGTTTGAATTTTATCACAGTAAATTATGAAGGAAGAAATCTTAAACTTTTATTAGATACAGGTGCGACTGTTAGTGTAATTTTCGAAAAAAATGTGAATAAACATCAAAACATCGATTATTCAGAAACGATTAAAATAAATGGCATATCTGGGTCAATAACTTCGCAAGGCTCAGCAAACATTCAATTCACAGTAAATAGTAGTGTAAATATGTGTCATACATTTTTGATGATAAAGGAGTTTGAAAATAATTTCCACGGTGTTATTGGGTTAGATTTCTTTCATAAATATAATGCAACAATAGACTTCGAGAAATTCATGTTTTCATTTTATTATGGTGAGAATAGAATTACTGTCCCTATGCATGCTAACCAAGAGATATTTACTTTAATTTCAAAACGAACAGAAATAATTAAATATTTTCATGTTGACCATAACACTGATTATGTGGTTCTCACTGATGAAATAGGAGACGGTATTTTTATTGCGGGGTCAATAGTTACTCCTGAGGTGAATAAAATACCGATTAGATTTCTGAATGTGCAAGAACGGGACGTCACCTCAAAAAATTTTAAACCAAAAACCGATTTTCTCAAAAATTACGAAGTTTGTAACTTTGGACCAAACGATAATAAATCAGTTAGCAGAATAGAAAAATTGATAGGATTATTGAATTCAAAGGAGTTGAAAGAAAATGGAAACCTCGCTTTGCAAAAAATATGTGCAAAATACTCTGACGTTTTTCTTTTAGACACTGATCCATTAACAACAACTAACATATATAAACAAAAAATGTATTTAAAGCCAAATGCATCCCCCGTGTATAAAAAACCTTATAGGTTACCATTTTCACAAAAACAAGAAATAGATAAGCAAATCAATAAGATGTTGCAAGACGGTATAATCGAGAAAGCTAAATCTGAATGGTCATATCCTATTTTATTAGTCCCAAAAAAAGTTGATAACAATGGTAATAAGAAATTCAGATCAGTAATTGATTACAGGGGTTGTAATACTCAGCTGAAGGATGAAAAGTGGCCTTTGTCTTGTATTACAGATATTTTAGATTCCTTGTCTGGCGCTACTTATTTCTCACACTTAGATTTGTCGCAAGGAGAATTAGATGCATCCAGTAGGCCATGTACAGCATTCACAGTGGGTAGTAAGGGACAGTATCAAATGACGCGGCTTCCAATGAGGTTGAAAATCAGTCCAAATGCATTTTCTAGAGCAATGACAATTGCAATGTCGGGACTTAATTATAAAAGCTGTTTTGTTTATTTGGATGATCTTATTGTTTTTGGTAAAAATTTAACAGAACATAATAAGAATTTGATCAAAGTTTTACAGCGACTAAGAGAAGTAAATCTAAAATTGAATCCAAATAAATGTAGATTTCTGAAAAAAAAACTTTTATACTTAGGACACGTAGTATCTGCTGAAGGCGTTTTACCTGATCCCGAAAAGATAAAAGTTGTTCAAAACTATCCTGTACCAAAAAGTGCAGATAAAACGAGAAGATTCGTTGCATTTGCTAACTACTACAGGAAATATATTGAAAACTTTGCGGAAATTGCAACACCACTAAATTATTTGTCGAGGAAAAATGTTGAATTCAATTGGACATCTGAATGCCAACTGGCATTTGATACATTGAAAACCGCGTTAATCAATCCTCCTGTATTGCAATATCCTATTTTTTCTCCGGATAACACGTTTATCCTGAAAACTGATGCATCTGGTCATAGTGTAGGTGCAGTTCTTCCAAATATTGATGATAGACCTAGAGCATATGCAAGCAGAGCATTGAATAAAGCTGAAAAACAATATTCCACAATTGAAAAGGAGCTTTTGGCAATTGTTTTTGGTATAAAACATCATTCTTGCTATTTGTACGGTAGAAAATTCATTATATATACAGACCATCGACCGTTAGTTTATTTATTTGGCATGGCAAACCCTTCCAGTAGACTAACAAAATTTAGGTTGCTGATAGAAGAATTCAATTTTGATATAATTTATATAAAAGACAAAAATAATGTAACTGCTGATGCATTATCTCGAATTCAATTTTCATGTGACGAATTAAAAACCATGGCAAATGAAGTAGAACAAACATTATTCGCTATTACCAGGCAACAAAGTAAGAAGTTCAATCATAACGAGGATACGGTCGATTTTAATAATTTTGAAAGCGACAGGATTGATCACCCTGGAGTTGTTGAATTATTAAAACGTCCTAAAAACTCATATGAATTGAGTTCGCTTGCTGAACAAAATGTTGAAAACGTAATGAGAAATGAAAAAATTGAAATTCAATTGGGTAATATTATTCTTTTGAAGAAATCGAAGGTCATTTATTATGTATTGCAAAATTCAGATTCCCGATCAGCGTTCGTGCACGGTACATCGTTGAGACCTGAATACAATTTGCAAAAAATATGATATTCCGGAATTGGTTGTTATTAAAAACCAAGAAAATTCACAATTATTAAGTTCTATTAAGAATGATATTAGAGAGTCAAAGAATTATTCTCAATGATATTCATATCCTGCCTACTGGCGGACATGCGGGAATAAATAGGATGTACAATAACATACGAAAATATTATTTTTTGTCCAATCTACATAGGGATGTTGAAGAATTCGTTAAACACTGTGATGATTGTCAACGTTTTAAACATTTTAGGCCTAATATACAACCAATGTCAATCACAACGACGGCATCTTCTGCATTCCAAAACGTATATTTAGATTTAGTTGGCCCTTTAGAGGAAGATAATGAAGGTAATAAGTATATTTTAACCTTACAATGTGAGCTATCAAAGTTTGTTGAATGTTATCCTTTGAAAAATAAGGAATCAACGGCTGTAGCAATAAGTTTTGTGAATAATTTTATATTACATTACGGTATTACAAATTGCATAATTTCCGATAAGGGAACTAAATTTTTATGTTTAAATATGAAAGAAACATGTAAAATTTTGAAGATCAAACAGTTGTCGTCTACGGCATATCATCACGAAACAATGGGCTCTCTGGAAAACTCACTCAAACACTTAAACGCGTATTTGCGTATTCAGACATCTAAAAATTCAGGAACTTGGTTACAATTCTGGTGTTTTTCTTACAATAATAGTGTGCATACAGAAACGCGGTACACACCATATGAATTGGTTTTTGGTAAAATATGCAATCTGCCCTCTAATATCCTTAATAGTGTGGATCCACTTTACAATTTCGATGATTATCCTTCTGAATTGAAATATCGGTTACAGAATGCCTGGCGTGATCCAAAAACGAATTCAATATCTTCAAAAGAAAAGAGGAAAGCGCATTTTGATAAAAAATCTACAGTTATTAATTACAAAGTTGGTGATCTAGTCATGCTTAGAAACAACTCGGGCAGCAAAAAAGATGCTATTTTTACAGGTCCATATCCGGTAATTGAGGATAAAGCACCGAATGTTATTATTAAGATGGGTAACAAATTAGTTAATGTTCATAAAAATAGAACAAAACTGTATTATAATAAGTAGGACATTTTTTTTCTTCCTTTTTTTTTAGTTTCCTAGGAGGCGTAGTATAATATATATAAAGAACTTCAATAGATTTAGACATTCGAGTTATTCCATAATAGTTTTAGGATGCTGTATATTAATTAATTATATAGGTCAGTGGTATTACCTGGGTTCATACAGTTCGTTCGCACTATTGTGTATAATTATTACAAGATATTATGTACTGACTAAGCTAAACAGTTATTGTGACAATCGGTATCATTTTTATCAAAATAGAGAGAGATTGATTTTGAACTTGATGATGAATGGTCGTATTATTACAACTCCCAACTCTCCTTATTACTGAGTTATCACATAAGCAATATTCCATTGTCTTATCAGTATCACCTGCTCCTAAAGTGTGGAGAAATTTCGGTTTGAAAGGCTTCATGTCACTGTATTTTTTGAGATTTCTCCTTATTGTTTCCCGTGGTAACTGGAGATCTAAACTTGCAGTTCTTGAACTTTTTCTAGAATTCTTGATGAAATAATTTCGAATTCGTTCATTGCTTCTTCTTGGTCGTTGTACCACATTAATATTCTTCAAAATGTGCTTAGATACAGCTCCGTATTCATTAAAAATATTGCACACTCGCACAACGGTAGACTTGCTAATATTTTGAAGTTCTGGATGTCTGTCATTGAAAATTCGAGCTACTCTCCTTCTGGACCTGTCACTATCACCACGTAATTTTATTATTTGAATTTTATGTTGTAAAGTTGAATTATGAGCCATGACAGTGTACTAAGGAACAGTACCAAAATTTGACATTTTTGTTTCTTATTAAGATGACTTGTCATCTGTAACTTGAGTAATTGCGAAGCCTACTATTATGAATATTGTTCATTCCTGTGGATCTGTATTTGAAGGGTTCAGAAGCCAATCAGTGTCAAATTTTCCTTCAAAATTACTATAACGTAAATATTTCAAATATTGACTTATTTTATTTTTAGCTGAGAGATTTGTAGCATGTAAATTTTCACTACTGTATATTTTGTCTGATTCTATACTATTCTGTACTGCTGAGCACATCTGACAGGATATT